TGAGATTAGCTAAGCTCCACCCTGCCTTGAAATAATGGATTGAATGGATAACACCGGATTTAATGTAGCGTAGGCGATCAGCACCAATTTTGCAGAAAAAATTTGGAGGGATGATTTTGCAGGAAAATATTGGAGAAAAGGTTTTGCAAAGTTATGTTCAAAGTAATTTTTCAACAAAAAATATAAACAAAATAAAATCCTGGTAACCATTGGGGGAAAAAATACAAAATAGCAATTTTTACCTTTATAAACAAGTCCCTAAGTGACAATTGACAAACAATAGAACAGACCACCCAGAGAGTGCTGATGTTTAGCACAGGGAACATTTGTCTAGCGTGTAAGACTTCAATGAAGAGGCAATAGCTGGCTTCCAGTACTGAAACATTTTAGATTTAGGAGGCCTTACAAAACTTTTATGGGGCATGAAGTTTGCCAAGCTGATGTTTTACATTACAGGTTCATCTGGGATGAAGAGAGTATAAGTGTTCTGTGTGAAAACCCTCATAAGCTACTCAACAACTGACTCTAGTTCATTACACATAATACAATTTTTAACAGCTTTTAAAACTCATCCCACATCTGACCTGCAAATCATCACAATTCCTTCTATGAAAAACAACCCTTATTTAATTGACCACCATACATACAGGGGTTAATTTACTAAAAGGCAAAAAGGCTGTTCAGTTTGCAAAGGAATTTGAACTTAGCAGGAGAAGTTTGCCCGTAGTTTAGTGAATGAGGGGAAACTCTACTGACTTCATCCCCACAGTCTCACACTATGCTGGCCATGACCACAATATAATGTTCTTGCTATAGTGATGATGTAAACAAATGTATAGCTCAGCATATCATTTCTAAAGTATTTGTACTACTTTAAGCTCCCTATCACATTGAGGTTGATTTATGGAGGTAAAGATTTGTTACTATTTAAAACATAACCATTAGTAAAGCCTGGATTTTCTCAGTGATAACAAATTAAGCCTGATTTGCCGAAGGCAAATAGGCTGTTCACTTTGTAAGGGAATTTGCACTTTGCAGAGGAAGTTTTCCCTTAGCTTGGTCAATGTGGCAAAGCTCTGCTAACTTCCAACATCCAATTATGTGCAAGCAAAAATACTAGGGCTGTGGAAATTAAAGATTCATTTCTCGATTAATCTTTAAACTTTTAGATCGATTAAAATTATTTTGATCGCTAATGAAAACCCTCACCTCTCCGCCGGCTTCCGGGAGTCCCGTCGGCGTTCCGGTGACGTCACGGACATTGACGTCACCAGACTCCTCCCCCAAGTGGCTCTGTCGGCTAACAGGGGTAAGGGGGAGGAGTCGTTCGTTAGCCGACGGAGCCACTTGGGCCGGTGAGTTTGCCCAAGAAACTTTCTGCACGAGCGCCAGCCAAGGCATTGGCCTATACACATACAGCACAGCAATGAAGTAATAAAATGAACTAGGATCACACTAATCCAGCACGTTATTATTCTGAGTTGCCCCACTCAAGCGGCGGCCATATTGAGTGGGACACGTGAGATTAATAACATGCTGGATTAGTGTGATCCTAGCTCATTTTATTACTTCATTGCTGTGCTGTATGTGTATAGGCCAATGTAGTTGGATCTGTATGGGCGTTATAATAAAATCGAAATTAATCGATTTTAAAAAATTTCGATTAATTGAACACAAAAATTTTAATCATTACCACCCCTAAAAAAATACAGTTTTTTTCACATTTTCCTTGCACATGATTGGGTATTCTATGCAAAGTGAAATTTCACCACATTCACCAAGGTAACGGAAACATCCCCTGCAAAGAGCAAATTCCCTTGCAAAGTGAAACAGCCTATTTGCCTTTGGCAAATCAGACTAATTTGTTATCACTGAGAAAATCCAGGATTTACTAATGGTTATGTTTTAAATAGTAACAAGCACAGATTACATAAGTGATGTCTGCAAGTATTGTATTAATGGTAAAATTGATCCTTGTGGAGCACCACCTTGTCAGGCAGAGCCTGCACATGGGGCCTTGAGTTCTGGCCAAGTTGAGATAAAGCCACTATTTTTTTCAGGTGAAGCCTGGGCATCTATCATTTAACTTTAAAATGCCTCTGCTGATATTGGACAGTTGAGAGACAGGGATTGGGGCTTAGTACCAGAAAGGATAGGACTTCAGACTGACCAAAGTCGAAGCTACATGTACAGTGCATGCCTAAGATCCAAGGGAGTTTTACAGGGACATAGGGATAAACTGTGAACACTGTCTGTCCTAACCAAGGGTTAATGATCTCAAGGCATGGGTGGTGCATTGTATGATAATGAACTTTCGCTATGACCCCACTCTGAAATTGTTCAGAATAGTTTACAGTCCTGAATGAACCTACTCCAAATAAATTAGAAAGATAAGATTTTTTGTAAAATAAAATATTTTCAGGTGTGCTGTGTGAATGGGAACACACAAACAGAGTGGGGTTTCTCAAATTTGACTGCAAAAGTGGAATTACACATTAAGCCTCCTAGATGTTAGGACTAGTGATAGGCCAAACACACCCGAGTTCGAACTTTGGACCATGGAAAAAGTTTGAACTCGAACTTAAATGAAAAAGTCTATGGGACCAGAACTCTGAAAATCAATTGTCCCCATTTTGAAACCTTATATGCACGTAATTGGCCATAAAAAGGGTATGGGGAATCGGGTACTACCCTCGGAGACATGTATCAATGAAACAAAAACACTTTTAAAAACTACCGTTTTTCCGTTTTTTAAGAGCAGTGGTTTGAACATTGCTTAAAGTGAAACAATACAAATGAAAAATTCCTTTAAATACCGTGCCTTGGGGGGTCCCCTTAAAATGCCTGTAAAGTGGCACATCTGTACGATGTATAGAACCTGCTGCAGCAAAAATTACATTTATAAAAGAAAAAAATAAATTTATAGAGAAAAAAAAAAGCATGCAGTTCCCCCTCCCAAACACCAGACCCTTTAGGTCTGGTAGGGATTTTAGGAGGGACCCCATTTAAATAAAAACAAAAAAAGCATGTGGGGTTCCCCCCCAAAATCATAGCAGGCCCTTAAAGTCTGGTAGAAATTTTAAGGAGGAACACCCCCATGGGACATGGGGGTCTCCCCTAAAATTCCCAACTAGACCATTGATCCAAGCACAGGCCTGGAAGGGCAGGAATGGGGGGAGGATGAGCGAGCGCCCCCCCTTCCTGCCATACCTCAGCACTGGAGAGGGTGCTTTTCCAGGGTCACTCCGTGCCGGTGGGGACAAGGGCCTCTTCCCCACAAGCCCTGGGGCGTTGGTTGTGGGGGGTGCGGAAGGGGGGCTTATTCATATCAGGGTGCCCCTTTAATAAAAAGGGGCACCCAGATGCGGCCTCTTCCGTTGTGAATGAGTAAGGGGTAAATAAATAAAAAAATGGATCCATCTATGTAATCCTAGGGTCAATTACGACGTCCAGAGTTGTCCACAACGACAAATCAATGAAATAAAAAATTTTTTTTTTAAACCCGCCGACCCATCTGCTCGCAACGAACTCCCACCGCAGAATGGCATTCTGACAGATGCTGGCAAAATATAAATTGGGCAGTGCCTTGTGGGGCGTTCGGCCCACTGAATGCCCTGATCGTTCGTGTGTTCGCCAAACACACAAACTGCCAATGTTCGAGTCGACCCGTTGGTCGACTTGAACATCAGGACCATCCCTAGTTAGGACACATGAAGAAGCTTAAGAGGAGCATTTCTTATGGCAAAAGGTAAATTTTTACGAAAAATAATATTATGCTTTGATATTGCTGATACAGTCATGTGTGAATTGTACTGAAAGTTTACTTTTCCATTTATTTCTACTATATATATAGATTTAAGTATTGCATTTGGAACTCAGATTCTGAGTTCTGTCATTGCTCCCAGCTTCCCTCTGGGGCAAAACAGTTGCAGATGGGGATGAACACTATCCAGCTTTAAATGTAGTACATAAGGAATTTTACCAATTAATTTCAGTGGCTAAGAAACTGGTGAAAGTAATTCAATATTTCAACGGAATGCTACTAACATTGTACATAATGTGTACCTGAGCTAGCATAGTTTAGTCTGTATTGATGTAAATAAGTCATAGTAACCAGGTTAAATTTGTTGTCAGTTTTGGGCAAATTAAACCATGTAAGATAAGTGCTAATTTGTTGCTATAGGTTTACTTAAATTTGCTCAGGTTCAAAACTAACACACTCTCTACTGTTATACAGCTCTTTGGGTTGTATTGAATTTTAAGGCTTGAACCACTAATTCAAATGCCAATAGACTTGTAGCAAAAAGTGTTTTGCACCAAGGGTACATTTAGAGAGAATTCAGTAACCAGGGGCATCATTTTCATTAGAATCAAATCCATTTCAGAACAGCCATAAGTTAAAAGTTTGAGCTCACAGAGCCCTCAGTGCTCAATAAATGGTTGGTCCACCCAGAAGTGATAAATATTTGTTTTATACAAACCTTTATGGGTTAAGTTAGCCCCCGACTTATTTGTATTCAAATTAAAAAAATCAAATCAGTAGGGAAGGAAACCATTGTAATGGCCACAACAGATGTGTTGGTTGGAATGACACTTTTATTAGACACTAAAAAGTGCCTAAATTAAAAAAAAAAAAAAAAGAGAAGCTACTGCAGGTATAACACAGGGGCTTCAATAAGCATGCAGATAAGGCCAAATTGGAAAAGTTCCAACACTTCCAAGTAATGTTGAAGCTTGCAGCTATGTTCCATCACTTCACAAATATGTGCTGGAGCTTTGCCTGTCAGAATGGCTTGGCATTTCACTGTATCTGCAGGCTTTTTGAGGCTGTTGCAGATATGTGCAAGCAGGTCTAGGTGTTTGCATTTCACATTTGCAGCAGTTTTCTTGTGTTTGTTCTAGAGACAAAGTCAATTATGGAGTAAAAAGACAAGGCTGTGTAACCCTAAATGTCACTACGTTACGGGTGTAATTTAGATATTTTGTTTAATGGATAACCTTATTCCAGCAAAACAAGCTCATTAAATTTAGTTGTAGAAAACACAGTGTTTTGAAAACTTTTTAATAAATAGTCTCTTGTAAAAATTTTAAATATATCATGCAGTCCATATAATTTAAAATAATTTACAGGCTGAGGTAGGGGTGGGGAGAAGCTGGGACAGCAGGAAATAGTTCACTTAGGTTCGACCTTTCCTGCTGAGCACACAAACACAGGCTGTATCAATCCGTATGAACCTCCATGCTGCTTGCTTCCCTTCCATGGTCAATGCTTTGACAAAGGTGTGCGTGGTGGTACAATAGGAGTTCCAATGTTTTGAGTCAATCCCACGGCATCCACCTGACACTGGCTTTGGATCTCTACACTTGGTCTCAAAAAAGTACTGTTTGAAAACGTTATTGTTTATATTGACTTCCCCTAGCACAGTTACTTCCTTGCCCTTGATGTCAGTGGCTGTGTTTTTTTCCCCAACCCACATACTGACACTGTCACATACAGAGTATTCCCCCCGGTGAAGGACCGGATGTACTGTTCTTTTAGCCCGGATAGTTTTATTGAGGGACTCCTCATCATCTAAATATTCCAAGTTCCGGAGGTCTTCTGATAATGGTGGAGGTTGGGTGCTAAATAAAACTCTTGGTGAGCGAAACTTCCTCCTCCTGAAAAGCTTAGGATCAACTGTGATGTTGTGAAACATAGAAGGTTCATGTGCCTCTAATTTCCCATGATGCCGGTGAAGTGACTTAGTTCGATGTGTGTGCTGGTGTTGAATACGATGTCTTGTTGATGTCCCGCCTGGGGCATGGTCTTTGGTCTTTGGTGCAGCCTGTATGCCGATCAAAAATGCTATAATCAGAGTGTAGTACAACATGGACATTACTCTCCTTGCCTAAGAAAAAACAAAAAAATATATTTAATATAATACCTATAAAAATAGCCAAGCTTTCACAACTGTACAGTAACAGATTTATGGACATTTCTTTATCATTTAAATGAAGCAGAAGTAACTTTAGCACAATGATCATTGTATTTACACTGACACACCACACAACCCAAAAGTTCAGAAATAAGATACTCTAATGTTCTTCAGGTATGTATCTCTCTTTCTAAAACAATAAGACCTTCACACTTATACTGTCCATTGTGTGCGTTCTGTCAAGCCTTGACGTGATAAAGATTCAATATTATATAGTCGAATTCAATATTAATGTCAATTCACCACAGTACGCCAAAAGACACACACTTTTTTTTAGAAGGCAACACACAAGTGTGTTGTAGTGCTCTGCTATAGGTTGTCTCTACTGAACAATGTTTTGGGTGCCATTCAAAATTCATTGCTGTAATAGGTAGGCAATTGATCTGCATTTTTACCTTTGCGCCATGTTAATAATGCTTAAGAGCAAACACTGTTGCTGGCAGGTAGAATCATTAGCCTGCTTTTAATAACTCCAGATAGTCTATATTATGAAGGCGGACAAGTGAAAAGGTGCTGCAGCACCTTTGCATAAGAGATATGGAGATCAATATTTATGTGGTTTTGTTACAGTGCTAGTGGGCACTGAGCATATATGTGTTATTTTATAGTTATTGATAAAATAAACAGTATTTACCCTAGTCGAGGCCTGCTTTCTCTAATCTGCGACTGGGTGGGATATTATTATTTTGAAACCTATGAGTATCTTGGAAAACTGAATGTGTAGAGGAACAGAGGAGCTTGCATATCAGGCCATATTCTTACTAAATTAAGAAGGTGCACAGTCGCATGCTAAAGGAGGAATCCCTAACAAGTAATTTATCATCAAGAGATCACTCTGTGCATGAATTGCACCTTTTGTGACATCACTGCAATAGTTGAAGTTTTTTCAGCTTTGCACTTTGATGGTGTAAGATTGTATTATGGACATGTATTAGTACTATTTGTATATTTTCCATGTGAATTATTTGTGGGGTTTTTTCTGTTCAGTATTTATGTAGATCAGTTGTGAAAATTTATCTGCTGGCCCAATTTATTCGCTCACTTAGTAATACCTTTTACCTTTATTTAAATTGTATGAAGATAATATTTTACCTCAAGTAAAGAGGCAACTCAGCAATAGCAGATTATACTGTATTTAAACAATCAATCAAAACAAAAGACTATGTTCAAAAGGAAGTTAATGAGTATCCACTATACTAGTATTCATAAACATTATTATTCATATTTCATATTTAATTCGGGATCCGTATTTCCGAATGCAAATCAAAAATTCAGATCCCGAATTCCATTTGGGTCTAGGAGCCTCAGCTTTAGTAATATATGTATATGGCTAACAGGCCCGAATGGCATTAGGGAGCTCCTGAATGCAATATGGAAATTCGGAACCTGAATGTCATTCGGGTCTGGGAGCCATATACATATATTACTAAAGCTGAGGCTCCCAGACCCGAATGGCATTGGGGAGCTCCAAATGCAATTCGGAAATTTGGGTCCCGAATGCTATTCGGGTCTAGGAGATTCAGCTTTATTATTAATATCTGCAAATGGTTTTCCGTTTTACTCGCAATTAATATTCGTAAACTAACAAAATTCAGATTTCGTCCAAATCCAAACCCCAACCGAATTAGTTTCTGAATCCCGAAATAACTAAATATCCGAATGAAACCAAATTTTTCCGCCGCTTACATGTCTAATTATTATACAGGATTTATAAAGCGCCAACAGTTTGTGCAGGGCTTTACAAAACTGAGGGAGAGGATACAGTTAAAAATACAATCGCAGTACAGGAGGTACCTGCTCGTGAGAGCCTACAATCAAGTAGGAGGGGCAAGTGATACAAAGGAGGTAGAGAGTTCCAGAAGATGCGAGACACTCTGGAAAAAACATGGAGGAGAGCGTGCGAGCAGGTGGCAAGAGAGCAGGAGTTCTTGGGAGGGTGAATGGGGGGTTTGGGTGAAATTTTGAGGTGGGTGATGAAGTTTGGGGCAGAGTTGTAGTTGCCTTTGTGGGTTATTGTTAGTATTTAAAATTTTATACATTAGGCAAGTGGGAGCCAGTGGAGCAATTGGCAGAGGGGGTGGCGGACGCTTATCGGTTGGCAAGGTGGATGAATCTGGCAGCAGCATTCATGATAGCCTGTTTAGTAGTAGGCCAACAAGTAGGAAGTTACAATAGTCGAGGTGAGATATTACAAGGGAGTGAATTGGAAGCTTTGCAGTGCCATTTGTTAAAAAAAGGGGCACATTTTGGAAATCAGCAATAATTGGATAGTGATTGGATGTGGGGCTAAAAGGAGAGCTAAGAATCAAGGATTACACCTTAGGTTAGGCACCTTAGGTTGATGGGAGGGGTTGATTGTAGTGCTGTTGATTGTGATGGAGAAGTCTGGGGAGGGGACCCGGAGAGGAGGAAATATTATAAGCTTAGTTTTGGAAAGATTTAGTTTGAGGAAGTTGTGTGACATCCATGTTGATATGGCAGTGAGTAGATTAGTGATGCGTGAAGAGATAGAAAGGAAGGAGATATATTTGGGTGTCATCGGCATAGAGAAAACAGCAACCAACATTAGAAAACAGTAACTAGTCACAAAATGTTTCAAAAGAATGCCGTTTGGTAAGCAAGGATATACAAATCAGCGTTTAAAACTGCCAAAAGAATCAGGATTCTTGGGATAGGACCAATTATTATGTAGAACAGCATATTCTATGGATACCACTTCTATACTGCCTAAAAACAGCCTGTTGGTATGGAAATATGGAAACTACTGTTACTGAGGCAATTACAGGGCAGAGGTCATCTTAAGAACTGTCATTGTTTGATTTGCTCCTGCTATAGAAATGGTGCTGAACCAGCACAACCCTTCAGGATGGAAATATGTAAACTACTACACTTCCTGAGACAATTAGAGGGTCACAGGTCAAGTGATGTCTGACAATTGCTTGCCTGTTAACTGCCTGAACTCTCACACAATTTCCCATCTTGAATGGTGTGTGAGGTCAATCAGTTGAAAGGCAACAATTCTCAGAATTTAGGTGACTTCTGACCCTCCAAAATGCCAGATTTACACAAAACTAGTAAAACTAAAAAAGGGGGAAACATACACTTTTATTCCAGCAAGCATGCACAAATATGATATATAGAAATGTAGACAAATTGTGCACATTTCTGCATAGGTATAATCCAGTGACTGGTTCTCCTAAACACCAGTGAACTTTATTGCAGAACGCTAAGCTGCCACTCATAATTGGCAGACTTAGTTGGCTGCATGCTTGTTCTTGGTCAGTAACAGGTAGGGAATCATTCATTAACTCACTCAATTCACTTTAACAGTGGCCCCAGTATCTTATGCTCTCCTCTCCCTCCACCGTCCCATTGGTCAGGGAGAGAGTCCTTAGCTATTTAATGACTTGAAGCTTACATAGGGTCCTTTCTCTGTGTCCAGTGGCGTATCAGGGCAGCTAAATATAGCTATTGTATTTGCTGCCATTAAAGTGAATCTGTCACTTTGCCCTGCATGGGACAAAATAGTTTAATTTAACCACTTCGAGCGAGTTCACGTAAATGTACGTCCTCTGTTGGAAGTGGTTATACCAAGAACACGGCTGCTGCAGCTGCAGCCGTGCTCTTGGTACCGTTCTAAACAGCCGGCTGTTTAAATACAAATTGATTCGGCATCTATTCAGGAGCTGGATCGCTTGTACATTTTTTTTAAAGTCCCCTGCCCCTCACATACAACGCAAACACATGGCGGATGTGCCTACGTGCAAACACAGAAATTGTGCCACACATGTCACATATGTGTGGGAGAGCAATAATTCTAGGCCCACTGACTGTTACCACTAAACTGATGAGCCGTAAAAGCGTTTAAATTGTCGCTTATGGGAAATTTTGGCTAATGTAGTTTTTGTGCGGTTTCATGGACGCACACAATTTTAAGGCTTGACATGTTTTGTATCTATTTACCCGTCGTGACCGTCTTTGATATTTTACCAAAACATTGGGCATTATATTCTGTTTCGGTGCACTAGATTTCATTGAGTGTATTTTATCCTAAAAATACTTGTTTGATAAACATTTGCGCAAATACTGTGCGACATAAAAAATTGCAACTAGCATCTTTTTATTTTACAGGGCCTCTGCTTTCAGAAAATATATAATTGTTTGGGGGTCTGAAGATGTTTTCTAGCCCAAAATTCTGATTTTATCTTGTGTGTGCAAATGTAAGAAATTGCTCCGGGCAGCAAGTGGTTAAGCTTGTTAGACTCAATGTGCTCAGAACCTTTACAGTTGATCTGAGCACTGTACTCTCAAAGTGAAATATTCCAAACTTTGTACTAGAGAGCATGGCATTTTAAGAAAGCATGTAAAGCCATTAGCTATAGGGTTAAACTTCTTTAAGTTGGAATTTATTTTATATGGGTCAAATATGCGCTCTTGTGTGTAGCCAAGTGCGTGGAGGGAACAGGCTGCCTTTTGCTTCAAGCTAAACTCCATGAAGAACAAATACACAAATAATTGCAGTTCTGTAATCATTAATGCATTATTATATGTATTTTTTTAAAAGCAAGTACATGATTTTGGCTAGGTATCAGCCTCTTGCAATCCCTGTACAGCAGAGCTCAAAATAAAAGAGGCAGAAGCAGCAAAACAAAAACAGCTGTTCTACAGTGCAAGGAGCATGCAGATAACAGGAAAAAGCAGAGTGACAGAGATATGCTCATCGATCAGATGCTTCTCCTTTCACTGCTAAGTTAGAGTGGGAGTGAAAAGGAGAGCTATAAGTAACTGAACTGCAGCAGAAAAAAATATCAAGTATTTTACCCTGCCAGAAATGACTGGCGGTGGTGTGGTGTGGCTGAGCTGAATGCACAGAAATGCTAATCCTTTGGCAGGTAAAACAGCCTCTTTATATGAATTTTATCTGTGCATTTTTCTCTTTGCCTGGAGCTCAGCTTTTGGTTTATCATAATTACCTCCCATGTAAGCATAGAAGCCTAAATATAAATTTGTATTTCATCTATATGTATAATGCATTAATTTATGTCCTACTAGGCGTTAGGAACTATGCAGCCGAAAACAGCCAAAAATTATCATAAGGGCCTCAGCTGATTATTTACTGAAAGTGTAAAAATAGAAAACCTGTTGCAGACTACTAAGGAATACAACTGTATCAGTATTTGGTTTCAGAGCAAATAAAACAAGTATACACTGTGAAAGTGACATGTAATTATGTTGTCAATTTGTGTTAATGACAGGAACTGGAGTAAATGGAAAGAATGTCCGCAATAAGAGTGAGTCACTAGGGTTAGGGATACAAATAACAATACACCATATGGGCTATAAATTCAAAGTATATAGTCACATAAACTGAGATGTAGGCAAAGTATTCCAACGTATTATCATTCTGCAGGTAATGGAATATAATTCTATTGTATCACATCAATAAACCTATGCATACAATTGTTGCATTCCCATAATCCATCTGTGAAAAAAAAAAAAAGATCATGGTCCTTAAAAAAAGTCACATAAGAATACTGATCTTAAGCAGGATGATTATTTTTACTGCCACCTACATACATTGGTTAATAACCTAGAGTAATATATATCAGATAGTTTAAATAGGTGTGTGTGTATTTTTACCCTGTTGATGCTAATAAGTGACCTGTTTGTCATGAGGAACCTATTATTAAGGCAAAAAACTCCTAGCATGGCCACTTTTATAAGGAACATGAAATACATACTGTCATTTTTCTATTCCCAGAAATATCTCACAGCAAGATATTTTTAGAAAAGGATAATCTTGTTTTCTTAGATATTTTCTTTTACTTACACTAAAGGGCACATTCCAATAAGCCTTACACTTGACTTTGCCATCATGCAGTGTACTAAAATAAGTAATGTTGATAAATTGATGTCATTAAACATGTGTATTGCATCGTACATTTCTCTAGGCTGCTGGCTTATTTAGTACATTTTGGTCTAAGTGCTTTGTATGAAAATCTGACTGCACTAAAAATTTAGATAGATAGATTTAAAGAGATAGTATAGCACATTTTTAGTGAACATATTTTATTAGCATTTTGAGTTATTGCGGTGTTTTCATGAAAGTAATTTTTGTTGGGATGGTCGCAGTTTTACATGCTTGCGCTGCCATATTTTTGAAATTGTTCAAATATAGACATTTGCTGGATAACCACAAGAGGGGGCTCTTTATTTGATGCAGCCTCATTCAGTCTGCTCATTCACAATACAAATTGCAAGCAATTCCAGGCCAAACCAAAAATATTTAATTTTAAAAGGAGCTCACAATACAAAAGGAGGAAACTAATCAATTATAAGGAGCAAACAATAAAAATACTACTCTTAGAAGAAAGAAAGGGTAATACTATGCTCTGTCAATACCTTGCTTGCACAGAACTCTAGACCTGTCAATCAAAGTTTTCATATCCAGCCATATTTACTGCAAGTACAGGAGAAACACAAATAAAAGAGGCTACAGAAGGATACTGCAGTCAATGGAGAACTGGAAGTTGCCCAGACAGCAACTCTAGAATCAAATTGTATGACACTTGTTCATTGCATGCTTGGCTCTCCTTTTAAACACTCGGGGGGGGGGGCATATGAGATGACCGTCTCCGATCAGCTACCACGGTCGACCTTTAGGTAACTTGAAAACCCTGAGCTTCCGCTAAGTGGACGTATGGGACTGGATATATGTTTTAGCGACAGTGCCTTCACCCAGCTAGGCCTTGTGGTATACAAGTGGGACCCCCAGTTGAGAATTACCTGGTCCCTGGGCATATTCTTCTGTGCTTACAGTAGTGGATAAGAGTAATGAGCTTCAGTCACTTGGAATATATTTTAAGTAGTTTTATTCTGCATGTGCATGGAGAATAAAGGTAGGAGGATGAGGGAGCACAGGATACCCTTTTTGGTATGACAAAGCATATTCCTCTGGTCTTCTATATAGATGTATATCTTTCTAGTTCCTTCTTCTATGCAGCTATACTGACTGATCACATACCATGTAAAGGTGGCTCCTTGCATCTGAAGTTCTAGTGTATGCTCAGTCATTACATCAAGGCATGACAGCAGTGGAAGGTTCTAGTGTTCGTTTCCGAAGCTCAGTCCGTCACTCACCATCTTTGTGGGGGACACCTGCAGCTTGCTGCCTCTAGGCCAGGATAACACTCAATTGCAGTCAGCATCTTAAGGACACCTCCCAGGCTGGGAGATCCTCACATCTTCCATACCCCTAGGCCCTCAGGTCTGGGGCCTAATTTAGTGAATCACTGTGGCATCCACACAGGGGAACACCCTGGACGGAAAGAGACTGTGCCAGGAAGTGCCTCAGATATTTAATAGCCCTCCCAGCATGCACAGCAGGCTCCCCAGACGTACTGATTAGCCAGGCATTAAACATCCTTCATGTGGAGTGTTATCTCTAGCACACCCAACACAGCATGTGACTAGGATCAATCACTGCACACTTAAGAGAACACAAGGTATCACAGCTAAGCTGACTAATCTACCCTAACAGATCACAAAAGTGTAGAAGGAGAATTTGGAAAAATTCTAGATCCCTACACACTGTAAACTGCTGTCATAACCTCTTTATCTGATTATAGACCATCAAAATTATGTATATAATCTTGAAAGATATCACATGACCAGGCATTGGCCCAATACAGGATCGCCCTCATAATAGTAAAAGTCAAAATCTTATGATCTATCATTGACTTTTAATGATATAGCACTGACACTATAGATAGACACTATCTGCAAGGAGTTTGCATGTTCTCCCTGTGCTTGTGTGGGCTTCCTCCCACACTCAAAAGACATGCTGGAAGTGTAATTGGCTCCTGTCTAAATCTGCCCTGTATGTATGCATGTGAGATAGGGACCTTAAATTGTAAGCTCCTTGAGGGCAGGGACTGATTTGACTGAAGTGCTTCATAAATTGTTGGCGATATATATTAAATACCAATAATAAATAAAATATCAGAGACTATATAATAAAATAACGTGTTCTATTTGTTATCCATGTGGAATAAATGAGAAGGCTATAATAAAAAACATTACTGTAAATAAGTTCTATATTCACAGTTAGGAAATCCTGCTTTCAGGTCATTGTGTACCATATGACATACCTTTGGGTGTACAGAATGGAAAGCTGCTCTGTCCCAGAGGCCTTTATTGCGTCCAAACGCTGTGCTGAGTTGAGGCCCAGCATACCATCTGTACAAGGGACAGTCTTAGTGCTGTAGTGGAGTTTTGCTGTTAAGGAGGAAACAAAAAATGACAGTGAATACCTAACAAAATACAATTACCATTCAGCCAGATAGAGAAATCATCAAGTAAAATTTCTTCTAATCATTTGCATGCTGCCTGGCAAATTAAACAGTTATGCAAATTACAGGACTGTTCCCTGTGCAGTCACATGAACCCCATGATACATTGATGAGTAGTCAAGCTAATTCAAGTACAACAATGATATGTAGAATGCAGAAACTTATTTCAACCAACCAGACAGTGGAATCTGTAATTTATACTGGTACAGGTAATGTTTTATATTTCATTCAGATGCTGAAAGAAGGCGGTACTACTATTAGTTTACACAGATGTGCACTTTAGAAGATTATACACATTTAAAAGTAGAATACCCTACAATCTTACCATTTGTACAAACAAAACTACATTATAACCACTTTATGACTGCAGTACATTATAGGTCCAAATGGCCCTTGCTGTGAAAACTAAGAACTCCAGGCAGAAATTATATTAACCCCTGCAGTTGGGCTACCTCCGCACTGCAATGGGTTAACTACTCATTTTTGCCTAGGGTAAAAAAAATAGTAATACTCAACCAATCCTCTGAGATGCCTGGATCTTAGACTGGTCCCTGGAGCATCTCTCCCCCTTCACATCAGTGGTCTAGGAATCCTAGAGTCATCATTTCCAATACAGTGCATAGGGCGTTAGGAAGAGGAGAAGGAGAAGAGAGGCTGGAGGGAGCGCCTCTGTCTCTGAGGTTCAGGTGAGTTTAACTTTTATTTTTTTTACCCAAAAGGCAAAAACTAGTAGTTAACCCTTGCATTGTGGGGGTAGCCCCACTGCAAAGGTTAATTACATTTCTGCACAGAGTTCTTCTTTAAACAAGACAGTTTTGGATAGAGTAAAGCTGGCCATACCCTGCTCTATTTTTTTATTTCAATCTGCGGGCTGAACAAAAAAAATAGGGAAAGTTCCTCCAGCAATGCCGCCGGCCTCTGTAAGAATACCTGAACAGAGCCGGCAGCTTATTGACTACCGTCTGTACAAAGATTTTCCGGCCGCCTCTTTTGAGCACTATTGGTGGAGATTTCTCTTCACTTCTTTTCCAATAGCCACAAAAGGAAGAGGAAATCCTTTCAAAAAAAAAAAAGGCAAATACCAGGATCTCAGAAGGGTCACAAGAACTAGGGGTTGATTTACTAACCTTATAAACACACCACGAACATGTATACACCTCTGTAGTGTGTTCCCTCCCAGCATGATCTATGGGTGGAATCTAAACACCTTTGTAGTGTGTACACACCCAGCAGGTGTGTTGTGCAAAGCCCTGCATGAATTGCAAGGTGATGTTGTGTAAATTAGCTCTATGTTGTGTTGCTTGCGTTGATGAATGCAGGAATGTAAATGCATGAGCTAACCATTTTTGTCTAAACTGTGAAGCAGCATTATATATGCATCATGTGCATGATTTTTCCATATATGTCATTAGTGGAAATATGCTTTTAGAGACTTTTTGGTTGATAAATACGTTTTGCTGTGTGAAAATCACACGCACCTGGTGCGTGCGTGTGTTTAGGTTAGTAAATCAACCCCCTAGTGTCACCAATGGAATATTTCCCAACTATTCCTGTTCCGGTAACAACCCAAAACTTTGGGATTTTCTTTCATGGGGAGACAGACGCAAAAAAAACAAAAATTACGTTTTGGCTTCAGTATCACTTTAAGTAATCTTGCAACAGAGAACTAGGAATGTGCAGCTGTGCATGTTCTTAGTTCTCAGAACCGCTGTCAATTAGTAAAAGAAGACAGACTTATTATCAAGTTTACTGATGCATACCAACATTGGTCTTGGTGTCTAAGCGTCATAAAACTCTGAATTACAATAGGGTAAAAGAACAACTTTCATGAGAAAATGATGTAGACTGCCATTAGTGGCATCTCCTTTTGAGAATTCTAGTTCCCTGGCTGCAATGCAGATGCTTTGGCTGTAATGATCTCTGAGTCTGTGACCCTGAATAAGTATAGAGATAAGGAATTCCAAGACTTTTCTGTGTCCGCCAGCATGCTTGTTCCAGGCCTGTGACTCTTTATTGAATTATATACAGGGAGACAACCAGCATTTTTATCCTGATGCTCACAATCAATAATACTTACAGCAACAGTTAAAGGGTTAATTTGATAGATGGAGCTGCATAGCATCGGAAATAAATTATTTTCTATGCTCCTATGGTATGGTAATCTAGTGGCTATAATATGGTATTACAAGATGGCATTCGAAACATACATTCGACTTATAAAGAAAATATAACAAGAACGTTCACTTGTGCATCCGTTCGCACAGTTTATAGAGATTCACAAGGTCAACAACTCTGCACATTGTTTATAAATAGACCCCAAAGGCTTGACAGTCTCTGTAGGCTGACATGCAGTTTAGAAAAATGCAAAGATAAAGCAGAAGAACTCAACAACTACCAATTCTGAGAAAAGGTATGCGTGACAGCAGCTATAAAATAAAAACCAGCTTCAGTTCATGCATATGATGATAGATTTTCAAATCCTAGTCAGGGCACTATCTGCAAGGAGTTTGCATGCTCTACCTGTGCTTGTGTAGGTTTCCTCCGGTTACCTCCAATACTCCAAAGACATGCTGGAGGGTTAATGGACTCCTGTCTAAATTGGCCCTATATGTAAAAACATATAGGGCCAATTTAGGGACCTCAGATTACGCTCCTTGAGGGCAGAACTGTGACATACAACTCAGCTTTGATATACATACTATGATGTAAACGTGTCATTCCTGTGTCAGATATATGCACCTGTTGTGTGTGTGGGTAGAGCTAGAAAAGAAAACTAAATTAAATATCATTAAAACTAAATTAAAGTAAACCAAAATGGAAGCATTGAAATAGCCCAAATAAATATTTACTATTGACAGACTACAAATACCTAAAAAGGTACAGAATGTATATTTTGTATAATAATAATAATATGGAATATAAAGTATCTAATGCATGGAAAGCAGCTTACTGAGGATTGCAGATCACATCAGCTTTACAGCATATTTCTTTCTCAATATTAAAAAAGATGTGGTCTTCGTATATATTTTGGCACTGTGAAGTGTCTATGTGGAATAGCATTAATGAGTAATGATGGGTCATAAGCCTTATGCTGTACACATACAATTTCCAAGAACACTTGAGTTACTGATGGAGACTTGCTTTCCCAATCCATATTTTTTTACTTTGGAGCCAGAGGAAATGGTCTGATATCACGCTCATATTATTGTTGGATGTGCGAATTGCCAGCATGCTCACAATGTCTCGTTTTGGTGCCAGATCTAAACATCCTAAAACCTTGGTGAATTTTGACAAGGCTTATTTGCATTTCCACATGCTGAGAATATGTATTTGTCTGCATGGAGTTTGTATGTTCTTCGTGTGTCTGTTTTTCCAAGTGTTTCATATCCCCCCGGAAAGAGAATATGGCTTTCATTGAATTTTTTGTTCACTATTTCATTACAGTTATTACTGTCTCTATTCATATCAGGGACTTTACCCTTACTTTCTGTGTGGTCATTAGGACAGGAGGTGAGGTTCTAATACTTCCTCCGTCCCTTCCCCACTCTACTAAAAGTGTAGACATGTCCTTTATTTCCTATGTCAAACAGGAAATGAAGAAAAAAGATCTAATTCAATGGATAGCTAGAGGAGATTGTTGCCTAAATGCTTTCCCATCTGAAAATAGTTGGAGGTATGCTGTCTATTATCGATGTAAGAGACAATTCTGTAAAGTGTATAAATTAGGAATTCCTATCTGAAAGCCCTCATGTGCCTCTCCCATCAGCAGTAGCTAAAGGGGGAAAACAGCCTGTTCTTTGTACATGTAAGACTCTAAAAATGCCATAGTGTCTGTGTTAAACTGGCCACACCTATTTTTATTTAATTATACAATATTCTTTAACCCCTTCGTGACGGGAGATGTACAGTGTACGTCCCAGCACTTTGTGCCTATATGACTGGTCACTTACACTGTACGTGACAAGTTATATCAGGCTTTGTAATGCTGGTAACAGCTGATTCTCAGCAGTTACCAGACATTAATGAATGCCTTAGTATTGAGGCATTCATTAATGAAATAGTTAAGCTTTTTGTAAAAGCTTCTTCCTTTCAGTAATGAAAGAATGAAGCCGTTACATGCAAATACAGGACCGCAATTTGCGATCCTGTATTTGACAGCTGAAAATAGCAGAGAGGTAGCAGTGACTCACCTCTCTGCTATTTGTTTTGACAGCTCGAGAGCCCGATGTTTAGATACATTTCACTAAAAAGATAAAATGTATATCTTTTGAGTGAAATGTATCAGTTCTGATCATCTAGGCACGATCAAAGAGCTTTTAGGGAGATCTGAATCTGATTAAAGTCAGGATCAGTCTCTTTATTATTAGCTGTTCCTAAGTTTGGAGCAGCCTAATTGCCAAAAATTATAAAAAAAGTTAATTTATCAAGCAGTCATAGTGACTGCTTGATATAAACTGACAAGAAAAACAAAAGTTTTTTTTTAATTATTTTGTTTTTTACAAAGTGTAAAAAAAATTAAATAAAGTGTAAAACAAAATTAGGAAAATAAAAATGATATGTAAATATATTTTTTATACTATAATTAATATAAAAACATTCTAAAAAAAATAATAATCAAAACTTGTGAAAAAAGTGTTTTCTTCTAGTTTTTTTCCTCATTTTTTAATTTTATTCAAACTAAGTGAGGGGTTAGGTACACATATGTGATATAATTATATAGCCCTATCTGTCCTCTAAAAAACAATATATAATATGTGTGGGTACATTTAGTAAGAAAGTATATTACTGCTGTGGAAGAATCACACAGCAAAAATGTAACAAGTGTGTCAGTCATTTATGAACAGAAACTGAAAACTAGCTCAGTCATGAAGGGGTTAAATTTAACAAGACTTTGTAGTCTCAGTTTGTATCAAGCCAGGTAGGTTC